ATAGCTTAGGATCACTGTTTTTCTTTTGTGTTTTTTTTTTTTTTTTGGATCTGCTTACTTCTGTATTCTCTTACCAACTATAGTCCATCCCAATAAGAGATGTGGTATTTTCTAAACATGCAGTCAAGGACAAGGATCCCAGGATAAGACAAAAAAACGCAACCATGCATAGTCTTCCTTTGGAGTTGCTAGTTAACCTAACAAGCATGTGACTGGACCATGGGCCCCTTACCTACACAAGGAAAACAATGAAACTTAAATCAGAGAAATCCCTTGTTGAGTTTAAATAAACTACTACGATAAGTCGTCTCTTTGTCCTCCAGCAGACTAAGCCTATAGCAGCATGAATATAGAGATGTCCCAGGACAATTGGGGCCACTCTAACTGCAAGCTTTATTAAAAAGGAATGTTTTAAGCCATGTCTTAAAAGTAGACAGGGTGTCCGCCTCAACTTTTAGTGGTCTCATAGAAATGGGGCCCTGACAGAGATTGGAAATGTTGAGTCAACAAGTCATCTAAATGTCATGTATTTTTTCTAACCACCCACTGAAGCAGGTGAGTCCAACCTTCACCGTGAATTAACCTGTGCAGATTGGACTCACCTGGTTAATTGGCTGGGTAGATTAAATACATGACATGGAGATGACTTGTTGACTCAACATTTCCAATCTCTGGGCCCTGATAACTAAAAGATCTCCTTCTCATTTTTCTTCTGGAGAAATTCTGCAAAATGCCAAATCAGATGAATGAAAACTTAATTTTACCAGCCATCAAAACATCCTGACCTACCCATGTTCCAGGACACTCTTGGTGCATTTGTATCTGCATTCCTTACAGATGTGTGGACAGTTATTGATGAGCTCTTCTCAAAGAAGAAATCATAAACCTCCAATTCTACCTGTCAAGAAAAGAAGTCTTGCAAGTTTACAGTGACACAAAACAGAAATTTTGTCATAAAACAGTTGAAACAATAATTTGCTCTACCTCATAATTCCTTCGTTGGGAATGTGAAGAATTCGGAGGTTGATATGCTATGAGCATGTCATTCAGATCGAGCCATGTAAAGGATGAGATGGGATGAGTGTGATCAGATAGGTGGGTGATAAAGCCTTCCTTGGGGGGGTTTGTGATGTTAAAAACCAGAAGCTGTTTTGGAGTTTCCTCATCTTCAGCGTCCAATGTGGCAGTGGAGAGGGGCGTGAGAATGAACTGGTCTACCTCCAAGATAAACATGGACATGAAAGATGGTTTGGGAGGCTGGTTGGGCATTGCGCCAACTATCCGGACCGGAAGCCAGGCCTGCTCAGACTACAGAAACAAAAACAAATATAACAAGTTAGAGAAAGGTCTAAACCAAATCAAAGAAAGTACAACCTTTTGCACATGGTCGGACTAAGTTCCAGGATTACCTGATATATGCTGCCGCTCCTGGTGTCCTTGAGGTCAAGTCTGATTACAATGTAGTCTATATCTGGAGACGGGGGATCTATGTGTTGGTACTTTAATCCCATCAGGAGGAAGTCATCACATGGGACTTTAGTGAACGTCACTAGCTTCAGACCCTTAAGGCAGTGTTCAGATTTACACATTGCTCTTGCTTTATTATCTGATCAAAGAAACAAATAAAGCAATTAGGTTATTTAAAGGGACATACACTGTATAAAATTAAAGATTGACACTCTGAAGTTACTTTACTACCCATGATAGAGTTTCTCATTGTTCACTGTGTGAAAGGTAAGGGGCAGTATCGGACGGGGCCCCGATACTGCCCTAAAATGGTGGTATCAGTATCGGCGAGTACCAACAAATAGTGCACTGATACCATTTTGAGAGCCAAAAGTTTATTAAACTATTGTCACCCATTCCAGGTAGGCAATAAAAAGTTCTACAGGATTCACTTTGTTTTAGTTTTTTTCCTGCTTCACAAAGGTAGGCAGCAGCTTTACAAAGCCATGATGGCAATTATTTTACATTATTATGGTATCGGTATTGGCCGATACTGCACAGCCAGGTATCGGGTTTTGGTATCGGGGCCAAAAAATGGCATTGGCGCAACACTACTAATTAATGGACACTCTATAGGAACTACCCTACCAGGAACTAGAGGCTGATCGCCGCTCGTAACTCCCTGTACACTACACGACTCACGACGCACGATCAGGCTGAAAGTCGGACCGAAAAAATACTCGCACGACTGGAAAATCGCCCCAAAAATCGCACAGTGTACGCCGGGCTTAAAAGGACTCCAGTAGTCTGAATGGGAGAAGAGAAAAAGCATCACTGTCCACCATGGAGACTTCCCATTTATTTTGTTTTAGAGGTGGAATGTCTTTTGAGATTAAAAAAGTTATACAAATTGAAATTATTCTGAATGGAACATCAAAACCAATCTCAGCTCCATTTTTATTCACCAGACAAATCTGAGTTTTCTTCATTTGTTGAAAGCTGTCCCAATGTTTACTTTTGTCTTATTCAGTCAAAGAATGGACTCCAGTTTGGCTTTTTTCGAAACACTAAACTTAATTAAATTTTTCTTACTCTTATGTAGAGTCTTTGATGGTGTTTGAGGCGCTTTCATGGTTGGTCATTAGTTATGTTATTACAAACAGTCCCATTTGTTCTCTTGCGGGGTAGGAGACTCAACAATAGCTTGGTAAATGAGATCACACCCACTGCCAGAGATTACAACTCAAATCACTCTCATGAACCGACAGTTTGGAATGAAATTTATAGGAATAAAAAAATAAATATCTTTAAACTTCAACTAACAATACTACTTAAACATGCATTTTATGTGCTGTAGGAAGTTTTGGATGATTGGATGTAACGGCTAAACGACTGCATTATTATTCTAAAAGTAGAATGGAAGGCAGATCTTTTAGTTCTCAGGCTCCTCTCCTGTGGAACCAACTA